TTTTTACTAAGATAATATATTTTATAGCATATATAAAAACTATCATAGCTAAAAAAAACTACTAAACTTTTTTTAAAAATATTTATAGTTATTATACATTGCTAAAAGATATTATATTAGATAAAAGAATTAAATTTAAATCTAAATCTTAATTTTTTTTTAAAAGTATTAAAGGTTGATATAAATTTATTTTTGGACTTCCATCTTTAAATTGATGGATATAAAAAATATTTAAATCAAATTTTGAAGTAATATTTGAAATATACTATCAATTACCATCAAGGTCATTAAAAAATTCTTTTGTTATTGGATTTTTTTTTTCATATTAATATAATATGTTATTCTATTTAAAAATTATTTTTCTATAATAATTATATTTACTATTTATAATTTTATATTTTTGACTTTTTAAAAGTTAATAATTCTATAATATAAGATCTAACAAATTATATATCAAAACTATATGCAATAATAGAAATACAATTATGTAAAACTCATAAATAATAAAAGTTAAAAATGAATGTTTATTATAAGAAATAATCTTAATTTGATAATAGCAACAAAGTATGGTTATTTTATTATAATATTAAGACTATTTACTTTTGTAACAAATTGAATTACCTTAGAATATGACTATATCATATTTATAAATAGAAAAATTCAATTATGTATTGATTACATCTACTAGAGTCTATGAAGTTCCATCTTATGTTTAATATATCTCTTTTTGAACCATATAAGATAATAGATATATAAAATAAAAAAAATGTCAATTCTTTTTATAAAAATAGATAATTTTTAAGAATTTAAAATAGAAGAAGCCTTAGATTCAAGGTGGTATCAAAATAGATTGGAATATCTTGTAATTAGCATAGATATGATATTAGTGAATGCATATAAGAACCATCTAAGAATCTTAGAAATGCAATAGAGAGGATTAATGCTTTTCATCAATGACGTCCATCAAAATTAAGATAAAATAGTAATTTTTTGCTTAAAAAATTAATATAAAATAATAATTACTTAAATTAGATGAATTAAATAGAAATATTAAAAATATATAAATTTGATAATGTCTCATGAAGTAACTTTTTAGAAGCTTCACAGATAAATATTTGACTTTTTAAGTAATTATAGGTAATTGGAAGATTGAAAATCTTGGCTAATAAGTTGGCCATGTGTTGTACATGTTGACCACTTATTTTATAAGTTGGACACATTTTGTACATATTAGTCACTTATCATATAAGTTTATAATATAGTACTATTATTCAAAACTTTTTTTATAAATTAAATACATATTTTATAAGTTAAATACATGTTAGATGATCTATAATATATTCCACCATAGCTCTTTAATTAGATAGTATAAATGAAAGTTATTACTAAATATTCTAGTAAGAATAATTACCTTATATAAACCTTAATTTTTTTTCTTATTATTCTTTTAATTATTAAAGAAGAAGTAAAATAAAAAATCACAACACTTTATATTAGCAATATTGAACAAAACAAAATTGGAGCATGACGACTTTCACTTCCAACATTCTTTACTTATATGTGATGGTTCATATCTTAATAAATAACTTCTATTAATTTACTATTAAATCCATAATTAGATATATATAAAATATCTTATAACATCTCACTTATCACAAAATATTTTTTAGTATATATTTTATATTCTTATCTATTATTTGGATATTTTCTAGTAGATTCTTTATCTTCTTAATTTTATATCTAAGTCCTTTATTTTCTTGATCTTATGTCTAGATCCTTTATTTTGTGGCTAATTTATAGATTAGTCCTTTTACATCCCAAGAACCAATCTTTTGACTACTAACAATTTATTTAAGATAACATCCTCTTATTTTATTTTTATTATTATTTATTTTAATCTTTTTAATTTTTTATTAATTTAAGGCTTTGTATCTAATATCTTTGTTAATATATTGTTTCTATCTTTTATTAATGATTTTATAAGAAAATTAATAAATGTTACTTTTATCGTATAATATTTCTTGTCAGTGACATTCATTCTAATCTACACTCATATGAAATAACATTGAATGTAAATGTGCTTAATGTATAAAGGATGCTTTAGATTCTTTGTAAAAGTAAGATATCTTTGATTGTCACACTTCTTTGGAGTTGCTTCGAATTACACAAGCCACATGCCTTTTAAAACATATTTTATCTAAATTACTTTTCTTCCACCATGACAAACATAAAATTCATACTCTTATGTGTTTTTAGAATAGATTAAAATGTTGTCTAGATAACAAACTATATAGTTATCAAGAAATTCATAAAAAGTATCATTCATTAGATATTGAAAAGCAATTGGTGTATTTGTGAGTCTAAAAGTTACAACTTTATATTTGAAATGCCCATATGTAATTTAAAATATAGTTTTTTATTTTATTTTATTTTTAATATGTATCAAATTATATGTTCTTTATAGATTTATTTTTGTATAGATCTTTATTTGATTCAATTGATTAAGAAGTCTTTAAATCAAAGATAGAAGATACTTATTTTTTATGGTGATCTTATTGAGTCCTTGATAGTCCACATACATTTGTAAAGATCCATATTTTTTCTTCACAAATAAGATAGAAGCTCCTATTAGAGATTTAGAATGATATGTGAAGTTCTTAGCCAAATTCTTGTTAATGTATTTTTTAAATACAACCAACTTGTTATGTGATAAGATATAGATTGATCCAAATAGTAGTTGAGTTCTTTCTCAAAGATCAATAGAATAGTCATAGAGAAAATATTCTCAAAAAATATCTATATTCTTTTTTTAAAAAATTTCTTGATAATTGTGGTATTGACAAGCTTGGAATGCCACTTGAAATCTTTTTTTTTTTTCATTGAAAATATATATAGCATATATAGCAAAAGTTAACTCTTCTTTTACAATATGTATAAAAGCTCTCAGACATATTACTAAAGGTTTGGATAAATTAGACTTATGGATTTCTACTCAATTAGTAAAATCTTAAGCTAAACTATGGAAAAAATCAAGGTTATAAGAAATCTAGTCTATTTGAAGTTTATATTTTTTTAGCCATAATAATTCTAAATTAATTAGATTAAAAGGAGATTTAATTACATTAAATATTACTAAACTATTATGATCTTTAGTTATTACATCTAAAAAATTTATTTCACGGATAATATCTTTAGAGGATAATAAACAATCATTTATAATTTCTACATGCATGGCTTTATTTTTCTTAACTAAAAATATTTCTTATTCTTTTTTATCAAATGCTTTATTTATAAAAGAAATTGATACTTCTAAATTTAATAAAGCAAAGACTTTATAATTTTTTAGTCCTAAACAAACTTCTACTGTAAAATAAGGGGAGAGATTTGAAGAAAGAATAGAACCTTTATTAAGTATTATGTAAGATTTCAAGTGCACGGTTCCTATTATAGCTAGATAAACTTATTTTTTGATACATCATCTTCTTTGGCAATTATTATCATAGACATATATATTTATTCTAATAATTATCCAACTAATATGAATAGATGGAAGTAAGATGTGAAGTAAAATAATCCTTCCTTTGATTGGAAGTCTATCCCAATTCACAACAATTCAATTATCTTAAGTTTCTAATATGCTCTTATTAGTATTTGATTAAGTGTCCAAGAAATATTTTACCTTCTAAGCATGAGCTAAGATAACTCCATCAAATAGGTGACTTATTCTAGTTCACCACTATTAATTAAGCTATGAGTTGATTATATGAAATTTCCTCTTAATTCTTTATAAGAACTTAAATTATCTAGCCAATTAAATTCACACTCAACCAACTATAAACAAAAATATTACAACTCAAACAATTCAACAACAAAACCACTTAATCCATTCACAAAACCAATATAAGACACTTAAGTAATTCCATACAAACACACACTTGAAAGACAATCTGTTCTATGAATTAATTTAATTCTATATAATTTTATATTTTATATTAAATTTTATTTTATTTTATTTTTTATAATATTAATTATCATCAAAAAATAAAAACTTCATCCAATAATAAATTTTCATCTATGAATGAGTTTCCATCCAAATTTAATCAACATTCATCTACTAAAGTTCATCACTCTTAATCTAACTTTATCCACACTTGACCTAATTGAATCCAAGTGATTTATAAATTATACACATAATTCAAGAGTGAATTTATGATTTAATTCAACAAGTTGGAATCTAATGTCGAGAGCCTTTGATAACCCTCTTCTTGGCCTCCGATTCCGATTTGTGCTTTCTTGCTCCTTTTTGCTCTACTTGCAAGGCGACGCCTATGACAGCAAGGTTCGGGATTTCTTGACGAGGTAATGGCAGCTCTAATAAGTCCTCATTAATCGTTGTGATGCTCTTTAACGTAGAAGTCCTCTACCAAGCAGCAGTTGGCTCACTTGTGCAAATCTTGATTCCTTGGGGTTGGAATTGAATGCCTTCTCTGATTTTTACTTCGTTAAGTTGGCATTGTAACAACAAGACTGGATCAATTTAGTGCTATTCTTGCGAGCTAGTCTAGCTCTAGCAACCTCTAACCTCAAATGTAACTTGAATTTGACTATCTACGCTACTCTATCACTTACTACCCAAAATGTCCAACTACGACTAATATAAAGTGGCAACAGAACAACATGCAATGGTTCTTTTGATCAGCACAGCATATGTACGCTTGCACATGTAATTTTCTTCCACAGAAATACTAACAAGAGGGATTGAGAACTCATCACTTTCTCATGGACTTCACCTTGTGCAACTCCATTGAAAAAAGCTCAGTTTGCAGCTCACTCAATTAATCCACTACATTGTTTGCAGATTCGCAATTGTTGTTGCATTTTTCAGTGACATAGGAATGAAAAACAGACCGCAAAATTGATGAGGGAATGACAATGATGGAAGTCATGGGCACCAAACGAGAAGCATCATTTGCCAAGTAGACCCCGCTCCATAGAACAAATGAAAAAAATGCTGCCGCCTTTAAGAAGAGGGAGACCACCTCGCTGCACCGCAAGAATACAATAGCCCACACTGTTGGTTGGACAGAAGAGCTAGAGTAAAGACTAGTTGCCGTCACTCTGCACGGTTGCTTGCTAATAGAGACTATCGCCAGCTACACTTCTCTTTGTAGAAATAAAAGACAATAATAAAAAACAAGAGGCCATGAACCATATCGCTTAGAACATCCCTCGATGTCATATCGATCAGAATGTCAAATTGATATGATCCTCAAATGTTGTCCACCTCCTGTGAAATGAACTATCTTCTACTACTCCCACTAATAAACGATCCAGCACTTGAAGCCACGCTCCATCGCACCGTCGAAGCTGTAAGGATTAGGACTGTGCGCTATGACTGCCCACTACCAATGAGGTCACAAAAAGAAGAGTAACTTGTCGCAGGTAAAAAGAATCAAGAGAGAATGTGAACCGTTGATGATCCCTCCTCGGCCCACTGATTCGCTACAACAAAGAAAACAAAGAACCAAGACGGTGAGCTGCAACTCTTTGCGGCTTAGCCTCCACTAAACTTAAACAGAGAATTTAAGAATAAGAATCCCCGCTCACTATCGCAAAGTCAGGAGCTTCCATGTACATACAAAAACAACCAAAAGATGAGAATCTAGAGTTGCCCAGATCAACTCCGCTCCGGAGGCATTTAGATGAGATGTTGCACCGCAGCTCCGCCCAACAACAAAACCCGATCACCTTTGAACCCAATTGCTGCAGCAACAACCCGGCTCACCGAGCCTCTCCGGAGCCCCAGAGCTCGTGAAGACGTGACGAGACAAAAAAAAAAAAAAAAAACAAAAAAAAAACAAAACAAAACTAGAGAGGAGAGAGCGGCTTCGGAGAAGCCCAAACCCTTATCGGAAGTAGCCTCTCGCCTCCCATCCATCTTTTACTCTATTCCGGTTCTGTTTCTTTTTCTTTTTTTCTTCTCCTTCTCTTCTCCTTCTTTCTTTTCTTCTTCTTTTTATATATCCTTTGGATGTTTATTGTTGTTTTTTCCTGCACTAACACTAGTTCATTGGTATAGCTTGTTTTTTCCAATTGGATTCAAACTTGGGACACTTCATTAACAATTTCTCACTTCACCAACAATTCTACAACTCTTGGATGGTTAAACAAGACTTAACCACTACTTTCTAATATTTATATATATATATATATATATATATATATAAATCTTTTGGCTCTTGAGAGTCTAGTCAAGTATTATTTTTATTTATTTAGAATATTTGGAATTTTTGTTGAAGAATCTAAATTAAAAAAGAAGATAAGATGAACAAATATATTAATTGCTAATCTTAAATTTTAAAGTTTAGTCTCCTAAATTCCACCTAATTTTGATGATTCACCACTTATGGAGTTGAATAAGAGTGAATTTAAAGATGATCCATTTAACCTTTTGTTTGATAAAAATCACATTCTATATTCTTTACATCTATTTGTCAAAGTTCTAATAAAATCTTCTCTATTGAGACTTTACAACCAAATTGAATTGTTTGGAAAGACTTCTTTCACCAAATAAGGTTCCAACTATACAACATCAAATTTGCTTAGAAAATCTAATCTTCTAACAACTTATAAAAGCACTAATATGCTAGGCCTAAGGATTCTAAGTTTGTATTGTTTGTCAAAGGTAATTACCTTTGTATGTTGAATACTTTGTCTTTTGGCCTTATCAAGATTTTCCAACTGTTCAAGCCTATCAATTAAAGATTGTTTGATTGACAATCATTTTTATCAAGATAATACAAAGAATAGGAATCTCAAATTCAATTAGTGAAATGGCTTCTATACCATAAACCAAGGAAAATGGAATTGCTTGGATTGTCACCTTAAACATTGTCTTATAAGCCTACAAGATTGTAGGAAGTTTTGTGTGTCAATCTCATATAGATGTTGTCACTGTTTTTTTAAGTATATTAATTAAAATTTTATTGATCAATTTTATAAGCTTGTTGGTTTGAAGGAAATAAGAAGTAGTCTTCCTATGATCAATTTTAAATCATGAGATCAAGTCTTCTATTACTTCATTTACAAAATATTTTTTTCTATCACTAATCAAGATTTTTGGACATCCAAATCTAGTGATAAACTCCTCGTAAAAGAATTTGGTAGCTTGCTTGGCATTTTTAGCTTTAACTATCTTTACTTTTGTCCACTTAGTTATATATTTGGTTGCTACTACCCATATATTTCATACTACTAGTGAAGTTTGGATGAATCTCTCAAATATAATCAATTCTATATTTTTCAAAAGAAACTAAAAGTAAAGACACATAGAAAAACAAAGTCATCTTTAGGCCATTCCTAGTATATTATTTACATGTGTTATAAGTTTTAACATATTTATACACATCTTGAAATAATGTGGGTCAATAGTAGCTAGCTTTGAGGATATTTTGACCAGTCAAGATTCTAAAAAAGTGACCCCTATAAGCAGTATTGTGATATATTGATAAAATAGTAGAAATTTCTTTGCCCATAATACACCTCCATAATATCTTGTTGACTCTTTATTGTCATAATATATGTTGTCTTCTTTGAGAATGCATTGAGCTCTTTGCTGTGGAAGGTGAAGTTATATTTTACAAATATTCAAGAAATCCTAATAGGTTTCACCCATATAAAAAGAATTCAATTCAAATTTTAATTCAAAAGTACTTAAAGCCAATACAAAGTATTCAAAAATAATCTTCTTAGAAACCTCAACCACACATAAACTCCAATTGCCTTATTACTTTTATAATTAGATAATTTTAATTTTTCTTTACAAGTCCTAACTCTAATTAGTAAGCTTTGGCAAGCTATAATTCCTAATCTAACTATCCACTTCCTGTAAAATTTTGCATACAAATGCCACTAAAAGTCTTATATATGTTCAAAAATTTTTAGCTCAGTCTAATTTACAGACTATGAGAAAAAGCCCAAAAATTGCACTAATGTCACTTGGTCACCAATTTAAAAGATAATGGAGATGTTCTAGTAGTAATTTTTTCTTCTCAAATCATTAACTTCAATTCAAAATTTGTATATAGCAACAATTTCAAAGTCATTTCAAGCCCTTTGAAAATAAGCCTTACACCTCTAGAATTAGCTTGAAGCTATCTCACCAATTTTAATTGCCAATCTTCAAATGCCCCTCTACTTTGCCCTAGGTGGTCATTTTAATAGCTTGAGGTCTGATTTTGACCTTGTCCTACAAATAGTCGACCCTCAAATATCAATTTAATCTATCTTAAGAATTTTTTAGCCCAATTCTATCCTCAACTTTATTCTAGTATTAATCATACTAATTAATTACTTCTTTTAATCTGATTTTATTAATTTATGGCCTTTTAAATGCAGTAAAAGAGTGTCTACAAGCTAGAAGGTAAAATTAATAACTAATCTTTAATCTACTAATTGTTAAGACAAGAAACTAAATTAAGAGGCTTTTATAAAATTCATATTTAAATATCTTGAATTATTATTGAACCAAAATGATTATATATTAATTAAAATTTTATTTTTTATTATATTTTTATTATATAGTTATGTTATAATATAACATCATTTATATAATCTATTCCTAATTAGAATAAAGTAACTACTATTGATTTTCATCTTGTTATGTTTTATTTTAGAAAGATGAGAATGAAAGGCTTGGATTGTCAAAAACTTGATAATTAATTCATACCAAGTTGAAGTAGTTGAAATAATAAATGAACTTTCATCTATTAAGGTGTCATCAATTGGAACTTCACCAATTTATTTTGACAACCTAAATATATGATTTGCTTACTTGTGTATCTTTCTAAGCTTATATTTTATTATAAAATCAAATTTTTATAGTAAAAGCATCCACCTTGTAAGTCTATCACTCAAATTTGCCTTATTAATAAGATATTTGATTGCCATGTGGTCTACAAAAAATATTATTGGATTTAAGAAAATATAGTATTTAAACTTCTTAATGAAAAAAACCATTATAAAGCATTCTCATTTTGTGGTAGAATAATTTTTTTTTTATAGGATTTAATTATCTAGTAGCAAAGGATATAGGATAGTTCTTGCCTTTCTCTCCACTTGCTTGATACAAGGTACTTCCTATTGCCACCAACAAAGTATCACAAATCACATAGAAGGATAATGACCAATTCACTGGTTTTAAAATAAAGAAGGTACTAAATTTTCCTTTAAGAGTATCAAATGCCTCTTGGCATTTTTTTCTCCACTCAAACTTCACATCTTTTTGTATTAGTTGAGTTATAGGCATAGAAAATATAGCATAGTCTTATATGACTATTCAATACTATTCAATGTGTCCTAAGATTCTTTGTATTTTTTTTTTTTGTATTTTTTTTATTTATTTTATCATTGAAAGAAGATTTAAATCTAGAATTATCTTGATTTTTTCTAGGTCAAGTTCTCTATCCTTTTCTAATATTGTATATCCTAATAAGACTTTCCTTTTGATTGCTAAGAATATTTTATTAAGTTTCAAAGTTATTTTAATTTTTCTACACCTTTGAAGATTAGCTCTTATACAATCATGGTGTATTGTCTTAGAAGATTGGAAGCTAAAATCATCAATGAATACTATCATTGATTTGTGTAGTAGATCTAAGAAGGCATACAACAAATGTTGTAGGAATAATACAAAGTCATAAAGGCATGACCACATAGATGAAGGTATCTCAAGGTGTAGTAAAAGTGGTTTTATTGTAGTCTTCTTAGGCTATGGATATTTGATTGTATCCCAAATATCCGTTCAAAAATACATAAAATTTATAACATGTCAGTTCTTTTAAAATGGTATTAATATATAGTAAAAGAAAATGATCCTTATTAATACAATTGTTAATTTGTCTATAGTCTATACACACTTAAAATTTTCTATTCTTCTTTTTTACTAACACCATAGGTAAAAATCAATTTGTGATCTCTAAAAATTGAATAAACCTTACTCAGAAGAGTTTTTTTAATTTTTTCTTGACAATTAATTAAAGATTAAGATTCATTTTTATTTTCTTTTGTCTCATAAGAATTGAATTAGAAAAGAAAAGGATTTCGTGTTGAGCTACTTATAAAAGTATGCCCTTAAGGTCTTTGTAAGTCCAAACAAATATATTCTTATATTCTATAATTAATAATTTGTAACTTATTAATCCATCTTTTATTAATTAAAATATCACTTTGATGAATTTTGGATCCTCACTTTTCAAAGATACATCCATTAATTTATAATCAAGATTGTGCATATGAAATTATTTTGTAGAGCCCATATATCAATAATTTGGAATTTGTGGATAGATAGACACATCATTTCAAACTGTAAGGCTACTAGAAGTTTGTTTAAATTGTAAGAGAGGATTAAGGCCAACCTCTTCAATTATGTCCACTAATTATTAACTTTGATTAATATCAAAGTTTACTCCAAAGACATCTTCAATCTTTATATCATCCATTAATATTACTAAATCTACTTTTACTTCTTTGTTTTGCCAAGTCACAAAATCTCCTATAAAATTGACATTCGTTATTTCATGTATACTTAAAGTAAGGTGTTTTGCTAACCATTGAGTGAATTTTCCATCATCCTTATAATTATATAATTTAGAGCTTATACAACTTAGTGGAGCTAGTTTGACTATATTAGATTGAATCAATTCAATTCTCTCGAAATTAAAAAATCTCATATTCTTTTTTAATTCTTATTCGGATTGAAGAATATGTATTTCATCTTCAAAGAATGGATAGAGATTTTTTCTAATGCTAATCCTTGGAATTGAATTTTTTTTTTCTTAAATTTTTTGGAGGGCCATAAATGA